TGTGAGAATATCTTTTTTTCAGTGACTATTAGTTTTTTTTACATGCGTTAGAATATTAAAAAAAAATCATGATTTTTTAAATATACGGGAAAAATTAAAAATAACAAAGATATATCTCAAATATAGATAAATATATTTTATCTTACAAAATTTAATTTGCATGATACTTAGATAAAATGTAGAGAATTTTTTAGATATGCCACTTTTCAAAAATGTCACCATTTTGAAATTTTCTTTAAAATGCCACTAATCCTCTATTAATTGAATAGAAAATTGGTGAAAAAATCATATGTATTATTCAATGAGGGTTTTAAGGAATATGTCATTTAAATTAACTAATAAAAATATTTTAACTAAAACTATATGCCATGGTGGAAATCTCTATATATTTTTATTAATTTTATAACATAAAGTCAAACCCATTAATATATATTTTACAGAATTAAGTTTAACTTAATGTAATATTTAGACTTACTCTATCATCTATTTTTTTAAGAAAAAATTGATATATTAAAAAGCTTTTTATTATTATATTTCTAACAATATTATTTATTTGTAGATGATAACTACACTTATAAATATTTTTCAATTTTATTATTAGAAAACACATATTTTTTGTTTGTTACGTCCGACAAATTTATATAAAATTTATTTGATTTATCGCATAATCTACAATTTTACGGAAATAATAAAACTCAATTTGACACTTCAAATAAATTGAAATAAATAACATTTGCATTAATTTTAATATTTTTATGCAAAATTGATCAAATCATATGACATTGAAAATATTTAGTAAAAATTTAATTTTATTACATTTATGCACAGTATATATCATTTTGTATGTTTAGAAATATTAAAATACACGTCTAAATGTTAAGATCGATTAGAAAATATATTTAAATATCTAATCCCAGGCGTGGGTCAAAATCTAGTTTATATATAAATATCATGCATATAAATGGATTATTTGTTCAAAAAAAAAAGAAGTGATGGATTCTAGCTAATTCATGAAATCGAAGATTTCCACTATTTTTTGTGTACAATTGTGGCTAATTAGTGATTAGTTTGTGCATGCTTCTTTAAGCTATTAAGTTTGCGTGTGATCTTCTACCAAACTAAATTTGTGATTTTCTTAACAAATGTATCATCGTTGTTAAATTTTATGGTTTGTTAATAAGGAGATATCACGATACAGAAGATACAAATATTTGTCGCTGTGAAAAAACATGTTAAGTAGGAATGCATGTGAATGTGAATGTGATATTGTATTATTGTATACATTTAGATTTAGTTAATGTACAATTCTTTATAAAGGATTGTAAAGCAGTAAAGCTCTTTGCAACGTTTTATTTATAACAAAAACAGTAATGGACAATAATTACGTTGAATAAGCACTAATTCCATTTAAGTGGGAGCTAGTAAGCCTCAAGCACTAATTTATCGTTTTTAAATCAATATCTACATTTCATTCATTAAAAAAGCAATATCTAAATTTAGTTTTCATTCCTTATTGAGAAAGCATTGTAACACTTTAGTTACGTCTTATCATGACAAATGGAGCATGTTTCTTTTATAACTCTTTAGAATATTGATTACAACTGAATGTAACAAGATAAAAAGGCAGAAAAAGTATACACAAAGTAATTAACCATTTAATTATTTTTCTCAATAGACCACTAATATTTTAAATTTATAGAAAAATCTGCGAATAAAATATATTGCTCGCTTAATACTCATATACTAATAACCATATTTAAAACTTTTGATTTAACACATTTTAATCAGATATTGAACGATGACATATAAATAAAAATTTAGCGATGATCATTTTTGTGTTTGCTAAAAAAAATTTCTTTTTTTACAAATAATCAGATATTGAACGACCATCTATCATTCTCTTTTTTAAAAAACTTTAATTTTTAATCGTACATATTACACTTGTAAGAAACTCGTTCTAATCAAATTACTATATAAACTTCACAAGAGTGTGAAAATTTTCGTTTAATTAATAAAATGAAAGATATTTTGTGTAATTCTTATTAGGTTTTGTTACACTACCACACATGGAATTCTGATATTCGATCTTATATAATATGTTGGAACATATAATGTTTTTTTTTTGGCGTTATGTTGGAACATAATAAATCTCGAATGAAAAACTAGTTCTTTTAAAAATGGATATGATGAGTTCAACGGTCAAACTCATGACAGTGATCGAATATATGTAACCCATGTAAAAAAAATCGACCAAAAAAATGATTCCGTTTGGGTCTCAATCCTGGAAGAAAATATTTTCAAGATCGACCAATCAGACTGATGCATGTACTCTGATGCGATGTGGATCTTCAAGACACTTCCACGAATTAGACTGCATGTACTCTAATGCTTACACGTGTATTTGTAATCTTCTACATCTTTCTTCTCAACTCCAGATGTCTCCATTTTCCTTTATATTGCACAATCTAAACACTCCTCAAGTATCATCCAAATCAAAAAGTACCCATTAAATCTTGCTCTTCTTTTCAACTATAAATCTTCTTACCAAATCTCTCACCAAGAACCAGTCATGGCCGTTCGATCAACAGTAAGTACCCTAATACTTTCGTTTCTCAGTTAGATTCATTTTGAGTTTTGACTTTTTTTGTTGAAGGGTCACTTGAAAAGCATGGTCCAAAGGTTAAGAGCTTACACCACGGCAACAACACCGAGATCCAAAGCTTATTCACCGGCGGCCACGGAGTACGGTGGTCAGAGACCGTCCACAACCACAACGGCCTCGACAAAAGGTGACTTCATACCTGTTTACGTCTCCATCGGAATGATTTCACTGTCGGTATCTTTTGGTCTCTACACTGCGTATCATCATCTCCACGAAAACCCTAGCGTGCGTGTCAAGAAGAAGACGAGAGAGATCGTTCCCGAGGTCGAGGATCCCGATAAAGTTTTAAACGAAGCGGACCGGTTTGCTAACAGGTCGTGGTTTAGGAAAATAGCTCACGTTCAAGAGTTTGATAAGCAGGATGTTATTGATGACCCGATTAGGAAAGATCAGTTCGCTCATAAACCTCGTGCCTTGACGCTTAAGGATGTTGGGGTTGATCCCAAGATGTCGACCGCTACGGCTCACTAGGAGCTCTTTAGTATGGAATTTGTAGTTTCATGTTTTTTTGTTTGTCTTAAATAAAACAACTTCTAAAACGAGACCAAGAGTTTTTAATGGGTCATTTTTTTTTTTTTGGCGTCAAAGTGATCTTTATTACTCATCAACTTGTACAATGGAGAAAATATTACATGGCCATTTGATAACATAATTCTGATTACATCTACGAGCATACTTAGCCAGATAATCTGCAAAAGTATTCGTCGACCTATTGATCTGTCTGAAGGTGAATCTTCTAGACCAAGGAACATGATTGATATCTCTTTTATAAATTGACAATATACCATGATTCACCTCTTGCACACTGGATGATCTTCTCATAACCTGCAAAGGTCGATAAAGTGACTGCAAATCTCCACAAAACATAATATTCTCAACCCAATCTTGCTAAGGCTGTAACGGCCATCTTCAATGCTTCAGCTTCTGCTTCCATTGTACTTGAAAGTGGTTTGATTGCTCCCGAGCTCTGAAGTAAGACCTTCTCCTGCTTATCAACAAGAGCCCATCCTATTCCAGCTGCTTGACGTTGGGAGCTCCAAGAGGCATATCTACAAAGTAACAAAGATGCTCTGCCTGCTAAACCACTTGTTGGACTGTTTTTGGGACCATGACATTATTGTGTACCTGCGGAAAAAGTTTTGGATTAACTTGATTTTCCATCTGATCAGCTTCCATCCAAGATCTTAAATCCAACAAAGCACCACTAACAATCTCAGGAACTCTTCTCCTGTAATCCTTAAAGATATCATTCTTATGTTTCCAAATTCTCCAAGACAAATAATGAAAAAGTTGAGTTTGATCAGGAATTCCGTCATTAAGTTTCCTAAAACGCTCATAATTGTCATGAAGACTGCTAGACAAGAGATGACTATCTGCTGGCTTATTAACAGGAGAAAGCTCCCAAACCTCCCTACTCAATTTACAAGTAAAAAAAGGATGGTTAATACTCTCCTCTTCCTCTCCACACATTGGACATATGCCATCTCTCAAAATATTCWTCTGCCTCAAYTTATTACCAACAGRCAAMGAATCATKTAAAACTTTCCACCAAAAATGCTTAATCTTAGGAGCTACATTCACTTTCCAGATACTCTTAAATAAATCAGTAGGAGTTTTAGAACATTGACCTTTTTGAGATCCAGGAAATTGTAACCTGATTTCACCGTATAAAGTCCATTTATTGTGTGCAACCAAAGTAAAGTATCTGGAGCACCAGAAAGTGAAGGACTGATCATTTTGACTAACGGCCGATCTTCTTTGCTAACCAACTGCTGCAACTTAACAGGATCCCACTCTGTAGTCCCATTAACAAAGAGCTCCATTACTTTCATCTGAGGATTGGAAAGCTTTCCAGTACCTGATATACATTGAGGAGGATTAATA